TGGTTGGGGGAATGTGTTAAAAAGACCTTAGATCTTAGCATTGACCTCTGACTTTACATTGTAAGGTGGTCTCTTGAACTTGTGTAGTAAGTCGAGAGTGAGGAGGGCCCTTGGAGCAGTGGTGTGCGGGTGCTGGGAAACAGTGCTCCCTGCCCCTCGGTGGGAGTGGCCGCTGGGGGGGCGCTAGCTGGCCCAGAAGCCGCCTTACTTCTGCAGAACTTGCCCAGGTTCTGAGGAGCTGCGCCATGGGGAGACATGCCGCCCTGAATTGGGGAACTGCCGTCCACTCTCCTGCCTCGCAGAGCCATTGCCAGCCCGGGGCGGTTCATCGCAGGCGGTGCTGTGGCCTCTGGCTCTAGCCTGACGGACCTGTTTAACTCCTGTCCTGCTCACTGCCTGGGTGGCCGGGGGCGAGTCATTGACTCAGGCATTGTTTCTGACCATACCAACGTGAGAAGATGAGGGGAGGGATAAACTTAATAATGGTGGTGAGGAAGGACATTTGAACGTGTGTTTCTCCACGTAAAAGCCGTTGTACAGTTAACACCATACACCATTTCATGAGGACATCCAACTGTACCAGGCACATTTCAAGACAGGCACCTTGGACAGTCTCAGTGGGGCCTACCCGTGTCACCGTGCTCCCACGGTGGAGGGAAAATCACCTCTGAGCTCATGGGCTGTCGGCACTCCGGCACCCGGTGCCCAGCTGGACTGACTGACATCAGACCTGCATGTCTGATCCCATGCACTTTCCTCTAAGTCTTCCTCCATCTCTCTGTCCTCCCCAGATAAAATCATTTGGGATGGAGCCAGCAGGGGGCATGGTGGTTAAGGTGCTGAACTCCCACAGGGTAGGCTGTGGTTTGAGTCCTGGACCCGGCGACTTGAAAATTATGCCGGGCTTGTGTACGTGCAAACCCGAAATCCTGAGAGGAAAAGGGAGGAGGTTGCAGTGTAGCCGTCCCCTCTGGGAGGTGATTTTTTACTTTTCCTTTGTCTGTATCTATCCCTCTCTTCTCCAGTGAGTACAAGCGCCCTATGACAAAAACCTAAAAGACTCAGTCCCAAGTGCTGCCGGCAGGACTTGGGTGCTCTAGGTGCCGTTGGCTGGCTCAAGTCACCGGTGCAAAGAGAAGGGGGAGAGGAGGTGGTTGGCCATGAGCAGGGACAGACAGGTGCTCCCAGCGTGCATGCACGTGTGCTCACATGCACATGCCCAGGGCTGTTAAGACAGGTTGCATGGGGCCGCATTTGCCCAGTTAGAGGCTGGCTGTGGGTTATATGGCAGGCCACAGCAGCAGCTGCCTGCCGAGGTCCAGCCTCGAATCCACGTTGGGCGCCAATCTGCCGAGGTCCAGCCTCGGCGTGGGTGGGTTATCTCGACGAAGGCGG